AAAGAGGATATTCTCCAGTCTATTAAAATGTTCTGACATTTCCAGTTCCCTCCAAATTAAGTTTCTATTATAGACAATAATATCTTGAATATGTCTAAGCTGGTTTGCAATGTAATATGTTTTAACATTTGGTAATCCAAGCCCTCCTTTTTGTAGAATATACCATAGTTTCTTATTTATTCTTATTGTTTTATTTCCATTACAATAACTATTTATTGAGTTCTGCCAGTCATTCAGATATATTTCTCCAATCTTTATTGGAAGCATTCAAAATACAAAATTAAGTTTAGGGATGATCTTCATTTTAATTAATGGTATTATTCCAAACCATGATAATTTTACTTTTTTATCTGTTCATTAGTTTCTTTCTTCAGTTTATCCTTATTTACTTTAATCATTTGTTGTGTATTCCATGTACAGTGGTGCCTCGCTTGACGATTACCTCGTTAGATGAGGAAATCGCTTGATTATGTGTTTTTTGCGATCGCTATTGTGATCGCTAAACGATGACTGAATGGGCTTTTTTCATTTCATGATGATCGGTTCCCTGCTTTGGGAACCGATTTTTTGCGTAACAACGATAAAAAACAGCTGATCATCAGGTTTCAAAATAGCCACCCACTGTGCAAAATGGCTCCCCGCTGTGCTTTAGGATGGATTCCTCGCATTACAGGCACCGGAAAATGGCCGCCCTATGGAGGATCTTCGCTGGACACTGAGGTATTTCGCCCATTGGAATGCATTGAAGCAGTTTTCAATGCATTTCAATGGGTGTTTTCGTTTCGCTTGACAAGGATTTCGCTTAACAGTGATTTGAACGGAAAAATTATCTTCATCAAGCAAGGCACCACTGTAATATAAATACCTAAGTATTTAATAATACTTTCAATTCTTCCCTTAAATTCTTTTTTCATTTCTTTCTCTTCTGCTTCTGTATGATTTAATAATATACATTTCAATTTCTGCAAGTTTACTTTCAAACCTGTTATTTCTTCAAAATGATTCAAATGTGTTCTAATAATCTACAATGTTTCTTTTGGGTTTTTAATTATTAATAGTGTGTCATCCGCAAAAAGATTTATTTTATCTTCCTCTCTAGTGTGTACACCTTTAATTAAAGTATCATTTCTGATCACTTGTGCCAGCACTTCTATTATCAATATAAATAAATATGGCGATAAGGGCAACCTTGTCTTGTTCTTCAGCCTAAACATATTGATTCTGTTATGCCATCATTTATTATTATTTTTGCAGGGTTCTGTAAATATAATTGATGAATTATTTGTCTAAATTGGGTACCAAATCCTATCTGTTTAAGCAATACAGTATTTTTAATTCATCCCATTCAACTGAATCAAAAGCTTTGAAAATATCTACGGATATTACACCTGCCTTACATTCTTACATTTTGATTCTTTTGCTAAATATATCAAGTTAAGCACCTTCCTTATTGTAGCCAACATCTGTATACCTAGTATAGAACCACTTTGATATTTCTCAATATATTTCCCTATAAACTTGTTTAATCTTGCTGCCAAAATTGCTGCAAATATTTAAGCATCTTGATTTATCAATCTATAAGACTCCATATTTATAGGGTTTTGTCTGGTTTAAAAATTAAAACTATTAATGATTTTTTCCAAGACTGGGGGATTTCGTCTCCTTTTAATATACCATGATATAATTCTTTTACTTTTGGAGTAAGACATTTTTTAAAAAGTTTTATAATATTCTGGGTCCAATCCATCTGTACCAGGTCTCTCCCCTGCTTTTAATTTTGTTTATAATAACTTCTATCTCTTCCTCTGTTATTGTTCTCTCCATTAATTCCCTATCCTCTTCAGCTATTACTTTTTAAAAATTATTTTCTAAATATTTTTCAATTTTATCTAGGGAGAGATTCTTGCTTGTCCTTATAGAATTTTTGAAAAGCTTCTAGTTTTTCTTTCATTATATTACATCTACTCCCTTTCTGATTTTTCATCACTCCTATATTACTCTTACTTTTTGGGGGGCAGCTTTAACTTCAATTTTTTTACCAAATATTCAAAGTATTCCCTGTTTAAATTTAAATATACAGTATTAAATCCCTCTGGACTTTTTCTATATGTATCCCTTCTAATTCCTTCCTTTTAGCTTGTAACTCCACCATAATCTTTTTTTCTCATTCTTATTGCTTCTTTTTCTAAATTCTTAATATCTTCCTCTAAATCTTGAATTCTTTTCTTTTGTTGTATCTTAATCATGTATGCCCATCCTGCTGGTAGTATCCAATACCATCATCCCTGTTGGCACCAATTGAGAGCAAGGGAATTGAAGATGGTTGTTGTGGGTTTTTCGGGCTCTTTGGCCGTGTTCTGAAGGTTGTTCTTCCTGACGTTTCGCCAGTCTCTGTGGCCGGCATCTTCAGAGGACAGTAAATTGTGCTCTGGTGTAGTTGGCTTGGGAGTGGAGTCTTCGCGAATGAATTGAAGATGCTTGGGACAATGATTCAAGCAGGTCCCCCACCTTGGGTTCTTTTAAGGAGAAAGACAGGATAAAAGTATTTTGAATAAATAAATTTGTATATAATAAATTGTAAGGATCCTCCCTTAAATGAAGCAACTATGGTAGAATTAGTGAGTGACTTGGATTACTAGCCACAAGTGAGAACATTTTGAATGCATCAGTGTTGCAATAGCCAGGAAATGGGTGCAACTGCTGTGGTTGCCACCATGAATCTTGCTAATCGCTAAATATAATGCTTCTTTAGAATTAAAACATTGGTGGCAGTGGTGATTAAAATAATAATGGATGTGTTATTGTCCTCTGCTAGCAATGCTTGGCCTTGCATGAAATCAAGGAAGGAGTAGCAATGTGTGGCTTTTAATCAACTGGTGTTGACAGACATAGCCAGTGGATGTCAAGTATGGTAGATAGGTGATCAAAAAGCATATGTTGTTACAAGGCAGCTAGTAGGCAGTTGTCAAAATATGGAGATTTGTGTGGGGGGGTGGTTGCTTGCATGAAACCTCTCCTGGGAAGTCTGTGTGGTTGTGAACAACCTTTTTCCAGTAAAGACCTACAGTCCCAGCTTTGAGAAAAAAAACTGAAACCTAGTTTTCATGCAAGCAGCTGGGTTAGCTGGGACCTCTTAAAGTGCCAACTAAAGAACTGAAGTTTTTCCCAAGGAAAGTTTGATACAAAGAAATATGGGGGACTTAAAATCCTGATCCAACTCTTCCAGAGCATGAGCCACACATTCGTGAGCAAGATCTCTCAGTTTCCTGAAGGATTAAATTGTTGGACCTGACTGAATATTTAAACTGATATGGTTGAATATTTAAACTGATATGGTTTTGTAAAAATATATATTGTAAAGAATATTATTTATATTTAGCCAATTTGCACAAGTTGTTTTATTTGAGTTACTTTGGTATGTGCTTCAAAAACACACAGAGAGAAGCACTACAGCAGTTGCAATTGCTTTTGAACCACACTCTGCCATATATTCAGATATATTTATTTGCCATTTAACTAGATAAGATGCTTTACACAATGGAATAACTGTGCAAGTCACATTTAAGTGTAGAATGGTTGACTTACATTCTTAGAAATTGGCCAGCCAGCAAGATAACACTGCTGGGGAACAAACCTTTCAGCCTGCAAGTTCCAATCTTTGCCCTTCTTTATCAGTGGATGTACTATGAGTCATTGATCACACTTATGAGTTCCAGAACAAATTGCGCAGTAAGAAATAGAGCAGAGGGAACAGTAAGAGACAAGAAAGGGATGTCTATAGAGAAAACTTGTAATTGATTTCTAACACTCTATGAAGGTTGTCTCTTTTGTGAGTATGCCAGCAATATTAGGAGAGCCATCAGAACTGAAGTGTCAGCATGGAATAGACTGAAGACTAGGTTCTGGGGAAACAGTGTGATGTGTTATGCTTGTAGGCCTGGAAACATGATCTAAAAACTTGCCTGCAATTTGTTTTGGTTATCCTCTGTTACTAATATATGGCTCTGATTCTCACAATTAGCATCTAAAGATGAAATGAATATGCCTCTGAAAGCAACCAACACTGATGGAAGGTGATGTCGTAGTAAAGCCAGAGCAGAGTAAACTTTTGATACCTATGGCCATTAAGAAAATTTTTGTTATGGGCAAGTAAAGTTTTGTGAGTCTATGCAATATAGGTCTTTGAGCATCAGCTGTACACAGTGTTTCCAGTGTTCAGTGGAGATATCCTACTTTGTTCTTGGCAGCCTGGACATTCTTATAGAACATGATCCTTTGAAAGCAGCAGAGACACAGGTCAGGACTACCCACTGATGGAAATTTTCTCCTACAGGATGAATCCTTTCAAAAGAAAATGAACTATGACTAAAATTTTGATCTTCTGTTTGGTGAAAAATTGTTCCTGGACCAGAACTGGACTTGATGGACTTTAATAGGATCTTGTTCCAGTCTGGACACGTTATGATGTAGTAAGCAAAATCAGGAGCAAAGGTATCCTGAGCATGCCTAATGAGAATTAACCATGCACTAGATAAGGTGAAGCCCTACTACTTTTCAACACATAAGAAGAAGAACTTTTCCTTGACTAAAATGTCTTTTCCTTGACTAAAATGTCTTGGCATCAAGCACTTTTTATGTGATTGTCTATTATACCAGCAGTCCTATAGCAGCAGAATCAATTATTCACCTGCTACGTTTATTGTAACACAGCATTTACAGATCCAATCAATTAATGATTTCATCACATTCATTGCTTGATCATACTCAAGGCAAGTATTGTTCTCAGCTCATGGGAGGAGCTGTTGCTTGTAAATGATAGATTTCTGAGAAAGTGATACTAGAAAACAATAATGGTGCAGAACAGGAATTGGGTAAGTAACTTTTACTTTCTAAGTATTTATTTTGTTACTTAAATGACAATTCTAGCCTAGTTTCTGATCCAAGAAAGGAATCAAGCAAGATTCATCTTCAAGAACTCACTTCAAGTTCCCAGATGCTCTCTGATGTTTTGTTTACTGGCAGAATCAGAAGGTTGTGGTAAAATCCAAAGATTTCTAGTCTACTTCCTTATTTGTCTGTTCTAAAGGGCTTTTAGTAAACCACATTACCAAAGGCCTTTGTTTATTCATGTCAAGGTGTAGTCCTGGTAGTTTGGTTTTTTGTATTTCTCTACTAAGGAGTTAACTGTTCTGAATCTCTATCTAGCCCTTGTTTGTAGTCGTGTTTCTATACAGAATATATATTTAATTTTGGTCTCATTCTGAATATCAGATGCAAGTATTGTGTATCTTTCACTAACTAATTAATCAATTTCAAATTTAGTTTAGTATAATATTACGCACATGGAATGCAATTCTAATTCAAAGAGGTAAAATCAAAACAGTATATACATGGTGGGGAGAGAGAAAGTGAGGAGCTAAAACAGCTTTAGGTGTGGAGACAAAAATCTTTTAGTGCCAAAAACATGGGTAATAACGCAGGTCTCAAAAGTTTTTTCTTAACCTCCCTTTGGTTTTCTTTGATTAAAAGCAAGGTGATTTTAACACCTTTACCATTTAAGAGAGCTAAATTCCTTTAAGAATTAAAAACATGAACATTTTAATTGGTGGTATAGGAACAGTTTTCTTTTCAATTTCAGCAACTTTTATTGGACACCTTTCCCTTCATCTTTTACTGAAATGCTAGTTTATGATAAACACATTATTTCCTGTTATGTCTGCCAACTATAGTCAAATGACAGGTGAGCCCAACCCAACCAGTTATTGTAGTACATAACTAATCTCTGAACTCTTTCACAGTTTTTCCAGTTACCATAGGGACCTTTTTATGCCTCACCAGCCCTGCAGGGAACATATCCCACAGCTATTAAATAAACAGAAAACAGACTAAGACAAAGTATCTGTTACTCGGGATAGCTATCGGTAAGTGCGACTGCCGTTGCCTCCTCCAATATTCAGTGAGTTTGAACAAATTTGGATCAGATATCTGTTATTACAAAAATGGCTTAAGCAAAAGTGTTACATTAGAACATTGCTTTTAATGAGTTATACAGTTTTAAATTGAATAGAGTTTTATATTGCTTAATCTGCCTGAAAAACAAGAAATGGGAAAATTAGCATTTAAGCAGAACAAAAGGAGCAGCCTTCTTGTCTGTAGTCTTACATCATGTATGATCCAGTTTTGTAAGCACCTGTTTCTCTGTGCTAGCTATAGGATTCTGGAAATTCTAATCCAAAAACAGTTGTTGATCTTTGTGTAAAAATGGTCCTTTAAACAAAGTACACCTTTGAAAGGTGTAAACTACAGAGTACAATCTTTAAAAGAGGACATACTGCACCTCTAGCTTGTGCTGTTTCTTGTCTTGACATATCCTGTTACTTGGCTGCCTATATTAACAATTAAAGTTATGTTCGTTGTATTGGGCAGGGGATAGAGGAACAAGACTGGTGAGACTGGGAGGTAGGAAAGAAACCATAGTATCCTTGTTTGCTAATTCGGTGGTAGATATTAATGTAATGGGTAAATCCCCAGACTGCAACTTTTAAACACTACTTCAACCAGACCAACACATTCTGTGCTAATTTGGAATGTTTGTACATCTTACTGGAATGATTATTTTTAGTACAAGGTCCTATCTTAGTGCTTTGATCACTGCAATAGATCCAAAGACAGTGTAAGCCATTCCACACCACGTGTTTGTCCATTTCTGCATGTTGTTAATAAGTTTTTCTCATGTGGAAGAGCGACTTGGGCTTGAATCAGGTTTGGGCTGGAGCCCTATTCTTTGTATTTTGTGTGAAATAGCTTACACAGGACTGCACCACAAGTGGTCCAAAATGCAAGCTATGTGCTCGTGTCACCACACTCTAAATTATTTATTTATTTATTTATTGGATTTTTCCCCCGCCTCTGTAGACCATGTCTACTCGGGGCAGCTTACAAAATAAAACAAAACAGTATAAAAATATATAAAATCATAAAAATTACAGTTACAGTTTCAATTAGAACAATTAATTTAAAAAAAGGATTACCAAGATGGAATAGCATGAGAAAGGAAAAAATAAGAAAGACTTAGTTGACTGGAGGGAAGGCCTGCTTGAATAGCCAAATTTTTAACTGGCCTTTAAAACCCAGCGAGGGTGCCAGCCAAATTTCTGTTGGAAGGGTGTTCCACAGCTGAGTTAAATAATTAACTTGCCTCTATAACACCTGACCTTAACTTGCTTCTATAACATCTGATCTAGAGATCTCATGAGAATATTGAATCAGATTATTCATTCAGACGGAAGAAGCTACTTTGATGAGTAGCAAAACTTTCAACCTAATAAATTCCACAGCTGAGTTAAATAATTAACTTACCTCTACAACACCTGACCTTAACTTGCTTCTATAACATCTGATCTAGAGATCTCATGAGAATATTGAATCAGATTATTCATTCAGACGGAAGAAGCTACTTTGATGAGTAGCAAAACTTTCAACCTAATAAGAAAGAAGTCCAGTTGCCATGACTCAACTTCCAGATATCCATTTACAGTGGTGCCTTGACTTACAAATGTCCCTACTTACAACCATTTCAAGTTATGACGAGCTCCAGCTGCAAAATTTTGCTTCTACTTGCGACTGGAGCCTCCACTTAGGAACAGAAAAAGGCAGGGGGGAAAAGGTGGGAAATTCAAATTGCTAACAGTAGGTGGCGATGAGGCTGCTTCTTTGTAGCTCTTTCGCCTCAGCAGTTAAAGAGTGTGCATCATTGTCAGAGGCTTTGGAACTGCCTCCTTCTGCTTCTGAGTGTGTGTGTGTGTGTGTGTGTGTGTGTGTTTGCAGGGAGGTGTTGGGCTGCCTTGTAAGGTAATGTGCTGTTTCCTGCTTTTTTAAAACTGCTCTTGGTGTTTTTGTAGTGTGGTTTTGAGCTGGGGGGTTATGTTTCTGTGCTGTGATGGGTCTTGGGGGGTTCGTTTGGTTTTTGGTTTCCCCCATTTCCAATGGGTGTTGGGGGGGTTTCGTTGCTCTTGGGGTTTTTTTCCCCCATTTCCGATGGGTCTTGGGGGGTTGTTTGTTTTTTGGCTTTCCCCCAATTTACAATGGGTCTTGGGGGGTTTGGTTGACTTTTGTGGGGTTCCCCATTTCCAATGGGTCCTACATGCTTCCCTTGCCTTTTCCTTTGTTTTCTTTGCATTTCCTACCTGCCCCCTTTGTTCTCTGTGCCTTTGCGATATGCTCTGTTTTCTTTGCATTTCCAATGTGTCTTGCATGCTTGATTGCTTTTCTTCCCCCCCCTTCGGCTGGAAGGGATTAATTGCATTTCCAATGAGTCTTGCAGTGATTTTTTTTTGTGTGTGTGAGATTTTTTTTTCTTTGGCCAGAATGGATTAATTGCATTTCAGTGCATTCCTATGGGAAATACTGCTTCGACTTACGACTATTTTGAGTTACATCCATCTTCTGGAACAGATTATGGTCATAAGTGGAGGCACCACTGTAGTTGTATCCAACCGTTGGCAATTCCATGAGGCAGCTCTCTCCATAATTCCTGATCTTGTACAGCTTCTTTCAGTTGCTTTATATTTTTGCCAGTATCTGCTTTGATTACGTCCAACCAATGTTCATGAGAGTAAGCATTCAGCTATTTCTAAAGAGAAGAAGGTAGTGAAAGGGCCAAACAAGGAGGATATTGCTTGTTGTGGGTTTTTCAGGCTCTTTGGCTATGTTCTGAAGGTTGTTCTTCCTAACGTTCCGTCAGCCTCTGTGGCCAGCATCTTCGGAGGACAGTGCTCTGAAAATGCCCATCACAGAGACTGGTGAAACGTTAGGAAGAACAACCTTCAGAACATGGCCAAAGAGCCCGAAAAACCCACAGCAATCATTAGACACAGCTGTGAAAGCCTTCGCAAATACAAGGAGGATATTTACATCATATTTAAAGTTGATTTAGTGTTCTAGATCCTGGTCTGTGCCACAGATGATTTCTGATCTAAGAAAACAAGTTAGTTTCTCAGATGCAAGAGTAAGGTAATACTTTTATTGAACCGCTAAGAAATCCTACAGTTTACAAGCTTTCATGAGTAAATCTCACTTCTTCAGGATGGTCATAACCCCTGGGGCTTGACAGAGAGTGAAGCTGATTTCAGTCAGAGTATGTTGAAGTGGGTGCTGGAGAGATTCTAGTATTGTTATGTGGCACAGAAGTAGTTACAAGGATCATTGCTATTCATCTTCCATCTGTTGACTTTGGAAGAAGGAGTTTCTGAGGGAGATGTTTCCTTGGACTTGGAAGAATACTGGAACTGGAGTGAATCAGCTATAGTATATCCTGATCAGAATTTATCCTCTTTGTTTGGTTATTAATCTCAGAAGCTTTTAATTATTGATCTCAGGGGGGAGAGTTCAGAAAATGACCAAAATTGTGTGATTTTGTTAAAAGAAAAGGAGAGAATGAGAAAAAAATCACAATATTTAAAAAATAACAACAATGTTGATTAGCTATCACTCTGTCTGTTAGGCCCACAACCTACTGGAGAAACAAGGGTTGGGATTGGGCCTGTTTCCTGTGAATACTGCAGTCCTACTGTAATTTCTTTTTAAAGAAAAAGATTTTAAAAAATATATAAAGAAATCTAAGAAGGAAAACGAAGCTAGATAGTGCAATAAAGATAAGGAAGGAAACAAACAGCAAAGGTATACGGAAACAGTGAAGTATAAATGGAGCTGCTCTGTGCTATGTGAGGCAAGAGAAATAAACTGAAAGAAAAGAATAATAGGAATTCTATATTATCTTGCTTTGGCCACATGATTCCCGCTACTTCTGGTCAGTAATGGATATAACTAACAGTGTGCAGATTCCACCTCTGCAACTCCCTGAAAATAAAATATTTGAGACACCAGAAAGGCTTTCTTACATTATAGGAGGGAGTCCGTTCTGAGTTTAACTATTAAAGAAAATTTGAGGAAAAAAGCACTTCTCTAACTGATATCTTAAATGACCAAGAAAGAAGAGGTGGACTTCTGAAGCCCTCTGATCTGGGCAAGGCAAGTGGGCAAGGGGAAAGAGGTCTAGATGAATCTAAACAGCTGTTATCCTTGATTACATCTGTCCTTGTGTCTTTTCTGGGCAGTAAGAGGCATAAGCCATTATGTATGGATTTTTTAAAATCATCTAAAGCAGAGGTTGTCAACCCCCCCGGTCTGCGACCCAGTGCCGGTCCGTGGCCTGAGCTGGACCGGGCCACGGAGACAGTCCTCCCACCCACCATCCACACGTACTCCCCTCCCCACGTCTGCTTTGTACTCACATGCCAGCGCTGCCGTGAGCACTCCCCCACCCCTTCATTCATGTGCCCACGTGAAGGGGTGGGCGGGCGGGCACACGGGCGGGCATGCAGGCACTCCTGCACATCCACAAAGCGGTGAGGGAGCACTCACGTCAGCATGCACACACTCCCCCACCGCTTTGCACATGTGTGTGAAAGGGTGGGCGGGCACACGGGCGGGCATGCAGGCGCTCCTGCGCATGCACAAAGCGGTGGTGGAGCACTCACATCAGCGTGCACACACTCCCCCACCACTTTGCACATATGTGTGCAAGCGCGAATGCGCAGGGGGTGCCCCGCCTTCCTCAGAGTGCACGCGCGCATGCGCAGGGGGTGCCCCGCCTTCCTCAGAGGCTCAGCCGGTCCACGGTCCCAAAAAGGTTGGGGACTGTTGAATTCTAAAGAATGTTACAGGGATGTACATTACTGCTCCAACCTGACAAAATTAAAAGGATGCTTCCTGATAGATGGCTCTTAATGCTACCAGTTTTTTAAAGTATTACTCAGTTCTTATTCATTTATCTTTTTATCTTTGACAAGAAAAAGTAGTGGAGGTAAAACACATTAGGATTACAAATAGAAGATAATGTCTGGAACACTGTAACATTTTGTGAATCAGACAGATCAAATGCATAATAAAAACTTTGAATAGAAGCATCTTATCAGTGTATCTTTCTGCCTAAACAGAGGTACATATCTTGTATGTTAGAATTATTAGCTGGGAAGAGAAAGAACAAGGCCACATGTCTTTTTTGTAGCACTGTCTCTTGCTACAGAAATACCAGCTAAAACAGTTTTAATTGATTTCCATAACTTTTTAATTTATTTCTCCAGGGAGAAAAATGTAACACAGAGCTGGCTGGGACAATCAAACTGTAATAATGGATGAAATAACATACCACGCTTATCTTGTATTCTCGATCATGGTGCAGGCATTGCCACTTCAGGCTACAGGCTACCTGCCACTAAGAAATGAAGACATGCCAGGTACAATCACGATTCATGAGACAAGAAATGCTACCTCATCTGTAAGAACTGAAATAACTTCTGTAATCAATGAAGTAGCAGACAACACTATAATGTATAATGCCAGTGTCAACTCAAATCAATTTGCTACAACTGTCAATACTACTGCCTTTTCCACACTGTTGATTTATTTTGCACAAAGCAGTCACTCTTCTCATGTAGAAACTAATACTTCATCAAGTACCATTGCTGATACTAAAAATGAGGTGACAACATTGCCTACTGAATCAGCTACATTTCAAGCCACTGTTAAAGATGTGAAAGTCACGACTTCATTTACTACATCAAACATGACAGTTCAGCCTTCTAGAAGTGTGCCACTAATAAGCAGCAAGGTTTTGTTTTCCGTTTCTGCAAATCAGTTTCCTGGTAAGTATGAAGATGATTTGCTTCTATATTTGAGGTGAACATATATAAACAGTGAGCTGGTGTTTTTCATTTTTAAAAGTTTAGAACAAAGAAATGGAAAAGATGGGTTGCTTGCCTCTAACTAATCCAACACAGGCTAGAGCTCATTTGAAGGCCTATTCCATGGCAGTGGCTGCAGCGAAGAAATGATTTTTTGTTGCTGCCATTGTGCCTGCACAGAGTTGTCCAGCAGAGTTTTTTTTCCCCTTTTTCTTTGAAAACAAGGAACTATTGTAAGTGTGGTGCCTGGGTTTTTCCATAATATTATTGGCCACTAAAAAATTCACTACTCATTTTAAATCCCTGTCTGTAAACTGAGATCTGTTTACATATTGTGCTTTTATAGATACTGTACTGTATATTATCAGTAAGCTAGCTGTATTATTTTATTGCAGCAGAACCAGCTCATCTGAAGAATTCAGAAGTCATCCTAACAATTCTTTTTGCCATTGTACTTGTGCTAACAATATTAGGCTTCACTCTTTATATTCTCAAAACATATAGAAAGTGGAAGGAACAATATGCCCATCATCCACTCTGTGATACCTCTTCTGAAACAGGTTAGTACATTTAATCTAACACTAGTCTCTGTACAAGATAGAGAGATACATGCACGAAACTCTTCTCTACACTCAGGTAAAACCAAATATGTGGCATACTGCTCCTGAGGGATCCTGACCTTCAGAGACCTTCCTGGCAGATGCAGCAAGATGCCACTAGAAGAGAAAACTAGAAGCTAAATGTGTTACTTAACTCAATAATAACACACAGCACCAGAGAGAGAGAGAGAGAGAGAGTTTCCCAACCACAATATTTAACTCAATAATAACACACAGCACCGGAGAGAGAGAGAGAGAGAGAGAGAACACTCCTTATATTTGTGACCTCTGCCTTCTTGTATCTTTTGTACATCCAACATGTTAGTGTCCTATAGATACCTCTGAATTATGCAGTTTAATGTATTATTCCATAAGGGAAAAAAAAAAGAGTTTTGAGCTTGTTTAAATGCACTATCTCTACCCAACAATAAATGCTTTTCAAACTTTTCACAGTAGACAGGTACACAGCTCCAGATGACACACTTGTTATATCAGGAGGCTTGTATGATGCACCAAGAATTTGTAATTCCAACATGATGGTATATAAAGATGATGAACTTCAGAATGACAGTTTTCTATTTAATATCCAACCTCAACAACTCAGATTGGAATTTCTGCCTGGAGAAAAAGAAAATGACTTTTCATCCATGTATGAAACATTTCAGATACCACCAGGAGGCTTATAATTGTTGGAGCACAGGACAGTCTTAAAGTGGCTTAATTAAATGTTTGGATTACTGTGCTTATTAATACAAACTGAATGAACTGAAGCAAGAAAATAAAATTCATTAAGTATCTTTATTAAAACAAAGAACATTTTAGAACACTTCTAATAGTGATTAACAATTCTTCACAACTCAGTTATGAACTGTATTCAATCTCAATCTGTTTCACATACTGATTTGGATACAGACTTAGATATACTTATAGGAGACCCACAAACATCCATAGGTGTTCAGTTATTACCAATGTAAAACACAGATTTGAGATGTGATCACTTTTGGCTATTGGGAATATATTTGTTGTAAATTTTCTTTATTTCACTTTTTATATTATAATTTATAGTAGAAACAATAAAGACTGATTGACTGATTCAATTTTAGTGGCTGTTTTAAGTACAACTGAGTCTGGATCTAACCTATTATGCTTATTTAAATAATTTTAAACTTTTCTGGTCCATTCTTTAATAAAACTGTATTTCCATTAACTTTAAGAAGAGTAAAGCTATTTATATTAATACTAACATCTATATCAATGCTGTTGAACATGCAGGACAAGATTGGCACAGGCCTTAGCATCAATCTTTTTTGTTCCTACTCCTACACTGCTGGCTCGCAGTTGGACACACACTGGTGTGCACCAGATTTGAGTTTTGCTTTATTCCTGTGCAAGCCATGCATCCTTCTTCTCCCCAGGCCCTGGCTGCTATGCCAGAGGTAGTAGGGCATCGGGAAAGACAAAAGATATTACTAAGCCTTGAAATTATTCTTTACCGCACATGCAGCAGTAGCTGCAAGCAGCATACTTTACCTGTGGGAAGTGGATCAGGCCGTAAACTCCTGGAGAATATGTACTCCAAGGTTCAATCCTTTCAGACTTCTTAGCAAAATCACAATGTGCCATTTTCAAAAAATTGCAAGAACATACAAGAAATTTAGGGATGAATGTAAATATAGTAATAAATAAAACAATTAGTTCTGTATCAATAGTAAACATTTTGTTTATGAAAACAGTTTTTCGGCTTCTTTCATTTTTTTCCTTCTATCCATTTTGGAGAGTGCTGTCCATCCAGCTTCTTGCATCTTTCTTATAGCAGCAAGCTTCACTGAGGACCCAGGAGTTTTGAGAGTAGATGGAGTTTGAACCTACGCACAAAACTGATTTTGTTAGGACTATTACAATGTTTATTTTAGCTTACTGTAAAATAAAAATATACCTTTTTTGGTGTCATAATGCTTAGATGAGATGTTTGTGGATGATCTTTATATAGCTGCTTAAACATTTCTTCCTCTGACACAATACTCTGGAAGAGAGAAGTTGTGGGGTTTTTAAAAGCAAACAGAACATCCAGAGTAAACACTAAGTTCCACAGAGAATTTTCCTTTCTTTTTTTAAAAATATCAGACCATGGGAAAACTAATTAACAGTGTCTAATTCACACCATAACCTTATGATTCTTAGAAAAGTATCCCACAGTCCATAGGATTTAATAGATTTTTCTCTCTGCATTTGAAAAGCAAAGTAAAGGTCTCTGAATGAAGATGGAGGCTGGTCTTTGGCAGCTTTCTCTGTGCAGAGGTAGAAACTTTTATTACTGTGGTACTCTGCCACTGGTACTTTAACTGCACTAAACGTGGCAGTGAGCATTCTAAGGAGATGTTTTATTCATTGAATTCAAAATCCTCCTTCTTTGGGGGACACAAGTGAAAAGGGTATATACCAGTGCTGAAGTGGTTACTTCTTTCCCTTTTAGCAATCCCCATTCCACCCCACAACCTCAGCCTTTCTGGAACAAGCCCATTAGCATTCTAGATTTGTTGATTCTTGCTTCTTCATCCATTTTGGATTGCTCCACACAGAATGATGCAAAATTAGCAGAACATGATTCAATAGTAATATGTACAATAAAGATGCTGTCTGACTTGTTACATTTATTGCTTGCTAATGATAAAAAATAAATACCTGATTTCTGTTCCTGAAACCCTCTCTCAGCTTTTTAAAAATCTGTCAAGAGTATGACAGTATGTTATAGCTAGTGGGAAAAGGATGACAAACAGTCTGAACCAGTTTTGCAGTTTTGATTGTAGACAGACAGAAATAAGGGGGGAAAGAGCACAATCACCACGGTAGATAAAGAGAAAAAAGGAGAACATAGCTATTTGGGAGACAAAAAAAATCTGTGATGATTGGATGGGTTGGTGAAGACAGATGAAGACTGTCTTAATGGGTGGGTGAGAGAGAAGAGATCACTGTGAAAGAATGGAAAAAGCACTAGGTGGAGTGGGCTTAGTTATTTCAAACCTGAGCAAAACTGGGTACTTTTGTTAATTTTTACATAAAGCTAAGATTGCAAAGACATCAATAATTCCTAGATTCTCCCATCAAAAGGAAACAGAACACTGCCCCACAAAGCTGATGAACACAACAATATTATGCAATTCTGTAAACACTGTTCTTTTACATGAAATTGCATAACAGAAGCTACAGAGACAGGATTGACATGACTTTCATTGAACAACAAGTAACTATTAGCTAATCATGTTACTCTACTTAATGTCTACTTAAGGAGAATTTCCTATGGATATTAGAAGCTATATTTTCTAGAAGGAAATTCATTTACGAAATTAAGATATGTATCAAACAGGCTTAACCATAGGCAGCCTGATTATTCTTCTGTATGTGTATTTTTTCCTATCTTGTGGTGTATTGTTTGGTATCACATTAACCATTGAAAGAAAACTACAGTATCTCAATATCTTACTTGATATTTTGCTGACTAAGTATTTTTTCAACAGGATTCACCAATTTGGTACAACACTTTAACTTTTTTAGGAGATACCTTATGGAAACATTTAAATGGCTTGATAGAGTTACATTTGTATTCTGCCAGTGAAAAGAATGGCAGACTTGTGAGAAGGTGGAGTAAATCTCAAAGTGGATGACACTGGGAGTACTGACTCTATGGCCCTGATTGTGTTTATGCTTTACTACGTTTTGAGATTGTGGATCAGCAACAAATTGGTCTCCCAGTTTTTGATGGCAGCTCCAAGGTATACCAAGGATGTGGTTTCCCTCACTCAAAGGTCTGTGCTGGTATTGCTATACACTCATGCAAAGTACAAAAGGTTCTCTTATCTAAACTTGAGTCAGATAATAAATGGTGGTGGATGGATTGCCTGTTGGGGTCTGCAGGTGATAGAAGAGGAGAAACTGGTTGTTCAGTATTATAACCCAAATAGTCTTAAGTCTGACAGGAGACAAATTTCTAGAGAAGCTTTCATAAGACTGAAGGGAAAGCTGTGGTTTAGTTTTATTTTGTACTGTGCAGGTGTCACATGGGTACTTGACTACTGAATATATCCTGTCATCTGAGAGTGAATAGATTTTTGTTTATCAACTAGGATGCCTTATGGAGTCCTCAAATGAGGGATATGGGCAACGCAATCCCTGTTTCACCAAAAGTGGATCCAGTCCAATGCCCAAAACTACCAATACAATTGTGACAGAATAATAATTCTAACTCACATATCATTGCAAACATTACCAACCCATTTGGCTATCTTTTCCTTCCTAAACTCAGTCCCCAATAAGCAAAAGAGGACAAGGGTGGGAAAGTTCCAAGAAGACTAAAGGAAAGCACTTTTTATTACAGCCAGGCAGACCAGACAGACCTCTTCCTTACAGTCTGTTCTGGTTGATCCACCCTTCCCCATTGCCTAGACAGGTTTTTGCCTCAATGACTAGTCACCGAGGAAGGCCTTGGAAAGCCTGCGGGCATCTAAAATGGTACCTGTCAGCACAGCCTACTCCCACAGCAAGACATCAAAGAGGACCACATGTAAGTCCATAACTCTTACTTTCTAAAGCCAGGTTGACCTCTGGCTACTACTGATTTTGAAAAAATATGTTAGGATTGAAGTTCAGTTAATTGGAGTGCTTGGTTGCAAAGCCAAATTCCCATTGTACCTCCTGAGAGAGGGGCCAGCCAGGAGCATTTAGGGAAGCTACATGGCCCCAGAGCACAACTAGAATGAGAAAGTGATGAACCACTTCAGCAGACAGAACATAATTAATATTCTATATTCATAATATGCTACTTCAAATTTACACTATGAAATGAAAAAATCTTGTATTCAAATTAGTACCAGGAGGTCATTATTTTCAGAGCTATCTGAGCGGGAATCCATTTCTAAGATAACTTTTCTCTTTTTCTTTCTTCTTTCTTCTGTAAGTAGACTAGTGCTTTCTCTCAGAAATTTAGATTTTGGAGGTGTTTTCACAGTGTAAGTCTGTATGGAATAAACAAAATAAAAACCATATTCTTATAGGAACTTCCTATAATTTAAATCTTTAGGCCTTAACTTCACAGACACTTGTGTGCAGCATTATACCCTGCACATATACAAAGTGTTGTGCTAGATAGCTCATTGGATTGATCTGACACAAGGCAGCTCCTTATGTTTTTACTGTACATGCGGATTGTATTCCTGGAAGAAAAATCATCAGTATAGCTGAATGTACTGGATACAAGCATTCAACAAGGAGAACTACACAAATAATATTTTTGTCTGCGGAATAGAAGGTTCATAAGGAGTTTTATAAACATTTGAATGATCAAAATTAAACTATATTTCTCCTAATGTGGTATACAGTATGTGCCATAAATGACATAAATGTTGCCTGAAACAATTCTTATAGTTTATCAAAAAAATATTGTTGTTGTGGACTGTATCTGTTATTCTGTTTGTTGTTCCAGATTGCTGGATAGCTTAGTGGCTTAGGTCTCTGGCTGCAGAGCCAGAGGCTGGGAGTTCATTTCCCCATTCTACTTCCTTGAGATGGGCTGGACTTGATGGTCCATAGGGTCCCTTCCAGCTCTGCAGCTCAAAGATTATTTGTTTATTTCTGTTTGTTTATTTTCATCTGTTCAACTACTGCTGAGTTTGTATTATGACCACCTCTTAGTTGTAGTCCATCATATCACCAGCAACAAGTGATTTTTCCCCATTCCATAACTATGGAACCCAGGTAATAAAAATTTTTTGGCATTAAAGCATGGGGCATGATGTTTCACTGTTAATGCTGGATCAAGATTACAAAGTGCTAAAACAAGTGTAGTACTTGTCCTGCTTCTTTGTCTGCTCTACTCAGACAAGGAGGAAGGATAGGCAAACCCATGCTCCTGCCTGGGACTGATTGAACAGCCAAAGAGGAGGAGGAGGAGAGTTTGCTCAGATTGGTGAGTGGGTCATTGGTCGGAGAGGTAGGGGAAGGGAACACTCAATACCTGTGATGCCACATGTACAAACCTCCAAACCAAGGTTCATGCCCATCTCTAGTAACTATCTATAAAGTCCAATCTTAAATAGAAATGTTCAAGAAAGACTGTTTCTGTAGAAGAAGCACCCCCCATCCCACTCTGTTCATAACCTATGTGAAATGTGAGAACCCACAGATATAAGGAATTTCTTGATCCATCTGTAGTACCTGTGATGCCACGTGTACAAACCTCCAAACCAAGGTTCATGCCCATCTCTAGTAACTATCTATAAAGTCCAATCTTAAATAGAAATGTTCAAGAAAGACTGTTTCTGTAGAAGAAGCACCCCCCATCCCACTCTGTTCATAACCTATGTGAAATGTGAGAACCCACAGATATAAGGAATTTCTTGATCCATCTGTCAATTTATTCTAGGTGAATGATAGCACTGCTGTGATCTAAAAATGCTAGTATAGAACAAGCAAACTCGTAATGTGATTTTTGTGTCATATTACAGTTTTGCAGTGAACAACAGAATCAGATCTCCCATTCACAGATAGTTTTTTCTAATTAAACCTATTTTGTTCAAAACTAAAACAAGTGTAGGATGAGGGTATTTGACTGAATTTTGTACATATATCTTAATAAATGAAAATAAATAAAAGAAGAAACAAAAAATTATTAAGAAACCAACCTTGGCAGGAGTCCATGAAGACTTCTTTATTTGTTCCAACTTGTTCATATTAACAGGTGTGAAATTTTGGGGTGTGTTCTTTTTGGAAGTAACTGATAGGGAAACTAAACTACTGTCTTTAGGTGTTTCCAGAAAGGAGGTTTGTGTTTTCTAAAATTAATTACAGAAAGAATAAGACAACTAAATAAGAATGAGAAGCAGAACAACTACTTGGCGACATACAGTACACTACTAGAAAATGTTCTTGCTTCATTTCAGCATCTAACTGGTTAAATGAAATTCAAATTGAATGTCACAATACAACAAAATATAAGGATTTTGAAAAGCATAGTCACCTTATGCTTTTTCTCTGTTTTATAGAGATGACTTTTTTCTGCTTCTTTTGCTAGGCTTTCCTAGAGGGGTGGAAATCAATTAAAAATTACAGTTGCAAATTATCAACTACCCAACAATTTCATAATTTTGGTTTCATGAAAGTCATATTGATTAGGGTTTTTTTAAAATTGCACTTTAAAAAAAATCAGACCTGTATCAAAAGAAAGAATAATTATTTTTCCCCAGAATCGCAATACTATTGAAAAATGTTTTATTTCCCATACAATTGTACGTTAAGTTTGTCTTTAAGCTCCTAGGCACATGAAAGACATAAGGCAATAAATATTATTTCCATAAAACTGTGGATGAAGCATTAAACATAAGACCAGATGACATACCTTCTCTTCTCTTACTGTTCTAAGCTGCTCTTGAAGTGAAAAACATTCATTTTTCTTAGATGAAAGATCCTTTTCCTGAGAATGAAAATTAGGTGAGAATTAAGTGGCATAGGCACACTTTTATGTGAAAACTCAGATTAAATCCTCAAGTTTTGAAAACAAAAATGAAAAATACAGATTTGACGGAAAAGGGGAATGGACAATTCTTGTTGTGGGCAACAATGGGCAAAAATGCTATATACTGTATAAACAAAAAAACAGGAATTATTTTACTCTACTTTCATTCTGTTTTACTTAACATATGGATTTGTATATTTATTTACTATTGATTGGAGTTTGTATTGAAAGTTGTCTTCAGTTGAGTATATACACTTTTAACTACTTTGTCTTTATTTTTATTTTTTAATATAATATTTTATTTTTATACTACTAAGGATAGGGTAGGGAATACAAAAGATGAAAGGAAGTGGAAGGATTTTGAGGATAGGAGGACACAGAATATACAATCATCCAATCTATTCATATTAAGTATACAAGTATACAAGCATCCAATCTATTCATTTTTCAATAAAAAATCAACTTTCTACTTCTTTTTTTTAACTGTTTGATTACCCTCTAGCTTTCAACTTATAATTATGTTTTGGTATGAATCTAAGTTATTCCAACACTATCAGGAAACGGAGACCAATTGTAAAATATATCCCCTCTTTCAGTTTCCTTCTGTCTTGGACATACATTCAGCGTGCCTGAAAAAGTATACATTTCCATCACTTCCCATATTTTCTCAGTATGCTTTTTTTGTTTCCGTGGCTCTGTTTTCTTCTATTTTTTTGAAGAAAAGGATGAATCCAGGACAGTAATCCGATTTTTAACCTCACATTTTCTGACTGTTGTAGCTAAATAGCTTATTGGGTCCACTTAATCCCATCTATGTTATCTGGCATTGCACTCAATAAACACAGTTCTGGAGTTAATACATGTTCCTTTAACTGTTGTCTAACATCTGATGATTTCTCTTCCATCAAATCTTCAATCTGGCTGTGCCAAAACTGGCTGTGCCAAAATGGTCCAAAACATGAGATAAAGCATCATCTGATCACACCCTTACTTACTGAAAGATGGCACTGAATCATGAATGATGCTGAAGACCTTTGCTCTGTAATTGGTCTATTTTACATTGAGTAAAATAGCAGATATAGCTCTCCCACGTTTCCCACCTGCAGGAGATGAGCCTTCCTATTGCTCAATAAAATTACTTTTAAAGAGCACAGAATGCCACTATCATGCACAACTGAGTTCTATTGGGCTTAATCTGAAGTACATCTGCATAGCATTTATTCTAGCCTTAGTTACTTCTGAGACAGTTGAACTATAACAGTTTTTAAATTTTTCTTCTTCATTCTGTTAATACACTTCCTCTTTTTCAGCTTGATTGGTTTCAGTACAGAATTCTGGAGAATTGTGAGGGGGCTCAGCTAGACAGGAGTCTTGTGCTATTGTGCCTGATCATTGCAGAGGGCTCAGCTCCCTGAGCCTAGTCTTGCACTGGCTTAAGCCTCCACCATGCTTCCTGTCTGGTGTCCTTGTTCCCTATCAAAAGGGCATCTTAAGAATTTATGTAAAAGGGTCTTAATTTCCCCCAAGCCATGAGGCAACATATTTTATGATATGGAATAAATGTATATGTCATTGATTACTGCAAATGGATATGCATTAAACATGATCCATACAAAAAAATCTTCTTAAAGAAAGAAATAAAGAAAGCAAGATAGTTAATATGTTGTATAAGAATGATACAGTACCATCATTTAATGAAGTGTATTTTCCTGTTGTTGCCATAAAAGTATTCTATCTGACAATCAGCAGATTACCAGGCTGATTAGGTCTCTGGCTACAGAAGATCTTGTGGTGAAATAGATGGGCTGGGGGAGCCTATAGGTTGTATCTTAGTTAGTTTTCTGTGCAAACAGATGGAAAGAGTGCTTGAAATAATGTCTTGGTAAATCATGTAATGAGGTTGAGCAAGATAAGGAGGGGGGAAATCCTTCCCTTCTACAATCGTACTGAATTAAAATACAAAATTAGAAAAATTTGCTGGAAAATAAAATAGAATTGTTTAAAAGCTGGATCTAAGCAAAGTAAAGATTTTGATAATGAAGAGGATTACACCATTTGCAGTGATTTCATAAAAACTGAACATAGGTGTACTGTACTTAATTACAACATGCATATCTATAGTTGGAGGTTGTGCATATTTCATTTTGTCTCAACATTGAAGGGTCACTGCTAGTCCTCTAAGCTGAACATTAGCGTTCCTTCATTGGATTGAAGAAATAAATAAGGTGTCTAGTAAAATATATAAATAAGATATAAAGGGTACATTAACCACACCAATGGCTGAAAATAAGTCAGAAGACATTCTTACCAATGATCCAATTGTTGAAGATAATACTTGTTGTTTTGTCCTAAAGCATTCTAATTCTGTGTCTTTTTCTTCAACTGTTTTATCATATTGGCGCTACAAATAGAAAGTAATACAGTACATATGTTAAATAACACACAGTATTCTACTTTCTGTATATTTTTCAAAATATGGTCAAGGGCTGAGTATACCTGATGGGCAGCTTATCCATTCATGTATAAAGTGGGTGGTGGGATTTATTTTGTACATTGGAAAAGAACACATGGAATCATTTGAAGGAACATGTAAGAAAGCAGCACAGCTCCTTCCTGACTATTTTCTTTCACTGTGTATTGTTCTTTGAAACATTTTCCCATTATCCCGTTGTATTACTAGAAGTGACTCAGGCTGGATATAAATACTGTGGTAATTAATGGAATGTTGGGCACGGGATAAGAATTAGCTGTTTTCCCCTGCACATGCTATGTCAAGCAAAAAATGTAGTCCCTCTCAGTTTCTGTTTTACATCTCAATGGGGCAAGCCATGAATAATATATCCTGCGGTCTTTTCTTGTTCCTAAAATTCATGGGATTAGTCAAATATGCACCATTTTTATATGTTGTTACACTGCAAGTACTGTACATTATTTTTATGTAAGCTATCCTGGGAAACCTCTTGACTGAAGGATAATGGGAAATGCTTTAAATACTCCAACATACAAATAATTATTACTTGAGACATTTTATATCTTTTCAAGAACTCAAAGCAGCTCAGATAAACGAACTCAAGATAAGATTTTGAAGAACTGATATTTATACAAATACATTTATATACATGACAATAACAATAATTAATATATCAGTCTACAGAATAAAATCATGTCAGCAGCAAAACTGAACTAAGCCAACATATTAAACAGACATTATTATAAACAGGGATAAACGTGAACTGTGATCAACCAAAATAAATCCAGTAGCCTCCACCAAAGTCATATTTGAAAGGGAACATTCTAATAAGACAATGAAAAGAATTAATTGTTGTGACCACCTCGACCTGGTCAATCACCTTTAAACTGTCCTTACTTTCTGTAGGCTTGCCTTAAGTTCAAAATATTAGAGTCAAAGCAATGCTAAGAATGAAACATAAAAATATGATCTTTATTGGAAAAAAACACAACTGTTTAAAACTAAACAAGGTTCAAATTACAGCTACACTGAATTGCATGCTAATTCTCAAACATCCCAGAGACAAAGTAATTCTCTCAAGTTATAGCCCACTCTTAAACATTACCTCCCTCCTGCAGATACAATTTAACTCTCCACTCTATTTATATCTTCCAGGATCTTCTTAATTAACTCTCCTCCTGTATTCTTTCAGCTATCAGCTTATTTCTTTAGTTACTGGGTAAACTTGGTGAGGGTTCCATCACAATTGTCAACAACAGCTCCTGTTGTTGTTATTTAGTCGTTAAGTTGTGTCCGACTCTTCATGACCCCATGGACCAAAGCACGCCAGGCCCTCCTGTCTTCCACTGCCTCCCAGAGTTGGGTCAAATTCATGTTGGTAGCTTCGGTGACACTGTCCAACCATCTCGTCCTCTGTCATCCCCTTCTTCTCTTGCCTTCACACTTTCCAAACATCAGGGGCTTTTCTTTCTTTTTTTAAATTTTTTATTATTTTCTTCAAGGGTAGGGCAGGGTAGGAGGTAACTAGGACAAGAATTCATTTAGAGGAGGTGGATTTGAATAAACATAATACAAATCATTATTTTCATAATAATTCTAAATAATCCCTTCTAAGAGTAGTTTCAGATAACATATGAGAATATATACAATATATAAGGAAAATACAAATTCAGACCTATATTTAGTAATTCTAATTATTAATTATGTAGCTGTTAATATTTATTTACTATTATGATTCTATATCAGCCTACTATTCTAACAATTTTGTGATCATATACAGTATTAATGACCACCAAGTTTCCCAGACAGCCTTTTTCTCTCTTTTTTCTTTTTTCTCTTTTTTGTTTCTTCTTAGTTTCTTTTTTCTTTCTTTTTTTTAATTCAGCTAGTCTGTTAACATATTGATTTCTTCAGTTCCCAGTATTCTTCCTATCAATTCCTGTATTTATGGTGTTCCAGACTCCTTCCAGTGTTTCAAGGATACTATTCTTGGCCTTGTTATTCCTTGCGTCTTTTATATATTGTGTATCTTGCATTATTTTTAATATTTTATTCCTATATGTAACTTCATTCTGGATTTCTGGTACCTTCTGAATTCTTGAGATTTGCGGAACATTCTTCATCTGGATTTGGATCATTGAAATCTTGTATTGGTTTTGTTGAATGTCCATCTTTCTTAAATCTTCCTGAAATTCTGTCACTTTCTTCTTCATTTTCTTTGCTGTTTTCACTGTCCTCTGTAATTCTTGATTTTGTTGTGTTACCTCCTTTTTCATTTAGTTCAATTGTGGGTTTATGGCCTCCTGTTTCTTAGTAAAGTCTAATACTTTAATTTCCAAGGTTGAGATGTTAGACATAATCTCATCAAACCTCTTGTCTAAATGTTGTTGTGTTACCTCCTCTTTTATTTGGCTCAATTATGGGTTTCTGTCCTCCTGTTTATTAATACATTCTGATACTTTAATTTCCAAGGTTGAGATATCAGACTTGATCTCATCAAACTTCTTGTCCAAATGAGCT